ATACTCCAGATGTGCACATAGGCGATGTATTGAACGTCTTCAGCGACACGTTTGTAGCACTAGGACTGACTCAAGCGCAAGCAAAAGCAATACTATCGACACAGCTAAGCCAGCTGATAGCTACCGGTATCAATCCCTACCAAGCGGAGTCTATTCTTTCCGCCTATCATTTCCGGCTACATTCCTTGTCATTGTTTAACTCCGCGGCCTCGCTCCGCCGCCTAGCGTACCCGACATATCCTGCTGTCTACGAGCAAGCGCTGAAAGAAACGCAGGTTGGGCTTTTGTGCCTAAGCTGCAAGTCACCAATCAACAACCCTAGAGATAAGATGCAATGCGAGTCCTGCAAGCGAACGCAGGCACCCTGTCCGATTTGCTGGGGCAAATACCCGGCTTTCGAATCGATCACCGCGAAGAAGAAATCGAAAGCGAAGTCGCGGCCATCATTCAAGGATAGAGGACACAGAAGGCAGCGATCGTCTCTCACGTCCAATCCAGACCATGCCGGCGATCAAGTCGCAGACGGTCCATCACCGACTGTTCCAGCCAAATGGTCGTCACCTGCAGCCACGCTCTGGACATGGTGTCCATTGTGTGGTCATGGAGGACATTCAAACTGTCTGTCGACCTGGTTTGCCGATCCGACACTATCAGACGGCGCATGTCCGACCGAAGGCTGTCTCTGCGACTGTGTCCAAGGCAAATGCCGCGACACAAAGATCGAAGAGATGCTCCTCAAGAAAGCAGAGAAGGACCGATCGAAGGTCGTACGAAAAGGCGATGATTGGAAGGTAAAGGAAAGCCGCGCGGTGTCGGCAGTCCGGAATGCTGCCCTCGACACGATACCAGATCAACAATCACGACCAAATTCTGGCACCACAACACCGACTCGTAGATGAAACAAAGGCTACTTCCGGAGCAATCAATATCAAGCAATACGCGCATCGATACTTCCCGGGCCGTCGCAAGTCTCGACCACAGCAATTCGGCCCGAAACGAATCACTCACTTTGCAGACCCATGCACTTAATACCAGGCACGGCAACCCTTCGAGTCCGATCCTGACATCACCACACGTCCAACCACAACCCTTTCCGAACGAATTTCTCACATCGGATCCGCATCTCAATTTTCGCAATACGTCGGTGTACATGGCAAAATGGAGCTGCCCGCATACATGCATAATCACACCGCTTGTATGCGCGCCAAGCATCGTTGTAAGACAATGAAAAGCCCGCACACCCTCGATAAAGTCGCGCAGCCCGCCCGCTTCCCCGGGATGCGGGACGCTGACTTGATTGAAGCGTGGGTCTGCCACGTGTAATTCGTGGGTAGCGAGGCGGGAATTTATAGGCGTGATGCTGCATGTGGTAGTAAGTGTTTTCGGTACTTTTGCGCGCAGATGGTCGGTCGGGATCGCGGGAGCGATGGCATGTGGGAGGTGGGAAGGCGGTGGGGGTGCTGTATGCATGTCGTTTTTGCGATGATGCGCGATGACGAGCTGAGGGGATCGTATTTGGAGTGTAAGACGATATTAATGATTGTTAAGCTGCTACTACTATACCACCATCGTGATATCGTACTCGGGTTCAACCTTGGAACCTTCGCCCGACCGCCCCGTCTGCCGGCACATGGAAAGGGTACCTTTTCCAGTACGTGTACAAGGTATCCACACTCGGAACGGAAGTAAGCAGCATGTAGACTAGCGCTGCTGCAGCCTTACCGTTGTCATCACGCGGCTTTTGACTGTGGATCGCTCACACCCATCCATATGATGATCTATTGCATACACAGTAACTTCTCGTGTGCAAAAAACAAAGAAAGTCTGAGGTCGAGACCCCTCGGTTGTCGCGTGTGTCGTAAATGTTTAGTAAATGCTTTGATGATCAGAGGTCGTGATAGGACGCGAATTACGACGGGCGCGTCATTGCATATTGAGACACATACACGTGCTGTTTGATGATGGTGGCTTGAATTCAGGTGCTAGCTTGTATACAATCCATGGCAGTCTGTTCCGTGTGAAGGAAAGTAAGGTAAGGTCGTGATCAGAAAGTTTGATAAATTCTTTTCTATGTCCAGCATCTGTCAATTGGTTCAGGTAGCACCAACATGCCTAATCAGTAGAGGATGTGTAAACCGTACCACCTCACAACTCCACCATACCACCACTCCGCATGAGCTGGAAGGTACGTACCCTACACATGTACCTCACGCCTCACACCACTCCCTCCCATGTCCGCGTTACGCCCCCAGCCCCCAGCCTACGCTGATCGGTCTGTCGCTCGCTCACTGGCATTCCCTTGATCGGTGTTCCACCTGTGCATCCGCAGCGGGAGTACCGCAACCAGACCTACATTACCGCATTCCCCACGATCCCAGTGATTCACCTACATGACGACATTTGTTGAGGAACATTTACTGCGAGTAAGATTTGTAAACTGTAGATTGCAGGGGTTGTATGGACGCAAGGCTACAGCGACGGTGTATTGGTGGCTATGGATGAATATGGCGATACTAACAGGAATGGAGTATCTTCGGTCGCATCTGTAACCGCGGTGCAGTGTACAGGCTGATGCTGCAAGATGATGGGATGTTGAGAGATTGTGAATCTGGTACGGATGACGTCGTTGGGTATTTTAGGATGTGAGCAGGTGTCTAGACTTCTCTTGTTGTACGCGCCTTGGGTTACACAATACTCGCGACCGTAACGTCGGGTTTGTAATTCGCATGTCATAGGCGGATGCTGTCCGCGGGGTCATGGGGGGTTTAGCGAGGTGTGGTGGGCTGATTCCGTGGGTTGGCCAGAACATAGCGATGATACCTGTTGCATGCAGCGTATGCTCGATGCTGGAAGTCAAGCAGAGCGGCGTCATTGCGCATGCTGTGTAGAGGTGTATGTGTTCGTGATATCCAAATCCGTACCTGTGCTGTTAACAGCGGACAGCTTCTTCGCGTTCAACAGCATCCCCATGCGTGGGACTATGCGCCCAACCTTGACAGCCTCCCTCCGATGCCGCTTCGATAGTCTCCATGCGGGTGTCGTACGTCTGTCGCATATCATGGGTATTGATAAGGTTGCAAGGCGACGCAGTGCGCTGGGCGGCTGTTTGGGCATCAACGGTACGACCGATGTACGAAGTGCGTGCGTTTTGACGTGTTTCGATCCATGTACCTAGCAGGACGCGTGGTCAGTCTAGACAAAAGAAACCATGCAATGCCTCGACTCAAGAGCACTTCCTTCTCTACTGCTATTGTATCTTGACGGTAGATTAGTAGGGCGACATGGCGACAATGCGCCATCTTGGCTCCGACGTCTCACTCAGCCCGACGATATACATCACAATTGGTTGTCAGATGTGACAGGGTTTGTGAATTTGATGGTATTCATGTCTCAACCGGTTCCATTCCTCGTGATATCGTTGATCCGCGGGAGAAAGGAAATGAAGGCCTAAGTCGCCGTGAAATGCATGCCTGCGCCCTCGAGGGGCTATTCAGATCCCGAATTCCTGCTCCCAGTCAGCTCCGTCCAGCCACCCGACATGGTATCGTGTGCATACCTCAACTCCATATCCCCAACCATTTACCGGCTTGCGCTCCAGACGGACTTGAGGAAGCCGTCCTTCTGTGCGAGCCTGTTGAAGCTGTCGTCGGCCTCGCCCATGGCGCGGACGAAACCGCAGATGGCGTAGGCCTGGTTGTCGCCGGTGTAGCGGCCGTTCTCGTCAACCTTGCCAACGCTGAGCTGGACAGAGGCGTGGTCCTTGGCCCTGATGATGCGTCCGGTGGCCGACTTGGAGGTATTAGTATCGCGTTTCGGGTCAGGTAGGTGGTGGTCGGTAACTTACGCACTGTGGTGTGTTAGCAGACAATCGTTACAACGTGACATGGGTTTGGCTTACTTTGCGGGGGACGTAAAGGTCGACGAGCTCTCCACGTTCGTTCTCCATTTTGATTGATGTGTGGGTGGGAGTCGGGTTGGGTTGTGTGGCTGCGGTGGTGGTCGATGTCGTCGGCGTCAATGTTGCGACTCGCTGAATTTCGAGTGTCGCTTAGCACTGGTGGTGTGGCGCTAGCGTCGCATGTGGGTTAGCGCGGGTCTCTATCAATTTGGCGGTGTCCCTCATGGGCGACCATCACCGTCACAAGTGAAACCTCGCCTTTTGCGAAGTGAACAAATGGTTTGTATCAGTTGATACAATCATATGCTCTGCACACAGTAGAGGGGTTGCCTGCAAACGACGAAACGCGGTAGCCTTGGTCTACCAGCCCGCATTCAGTGAACATGCCTTGACAGAGGACCATGAATACTTCTGCTGAAGTTTCATTGAGAGTTGAAGTGAACTGATTCTTGTTATTTGCTTCTATGGACTTCTTGCACAGGTTGCTCTGTCTGCAAATGCACCAGTTGCGGCCGTTGACTGCCCAACCGAGGGCATACCCACGCATTCAAGATAACCCCAAAATCTTACATATCGCTATATAACTACCTCAATCCGATATTCATCTAATATTGATGTTCTCAAGATCTCGAAGAAGGGCATCTGGTTCAGCCAGACATTCTAATTTATAGACCCAGTCGTTCTTTGCGCACTGCTCGCTTCCCAGTTCAGAACAGCGTGCCAAAACGAGCAAGGTCTACGACTACCATATCAAACCATCCACCCCAAGATTTGCAATGCACTTTCTGGCTCTCGTCTTTGTCCGGCAATGTTTGTAAAGTCGGCAAAAACAAGGCGCGGGCAAGAGCGTCCAAGTCCGCCATATCTTCCATCTTCCCATACTCAACCATGCCCACCCCATGGCTCTATGAACACAAAAGAAGAATGCTGCATCGCTGAATGCATCGTCCAGATATCGAGCGAGTTCCACTGTGTCCATAAAGCTGGCGGAGTGTGTGTACATACTCCAATGTCAAATCTTCCCCAAATCTCCCCAAACTCAACCAGCACTCTCCCAAGAGCTCTACAACCACCACAACGACGTGCAGGATGGCAAAAAGAATGCATCGGCCGGGAATCGAACCCGGGGCTAGCCGAAACTGTCCCTGTGATGGATGGCAACGGCTAATTTTACCACTAAACCACCGATGCTGGTGATCTGAGCGAATTATTTCGCTTGATGGAAATTCGAGCAAAAAATAAGATATATCCCCATTTGCAACAGTGTCTAGACAAGTGGATGGATTGATCGTGTTGTTGAGTTGGGAAAGACGGGTTTGAATTAGACAGCGTTGAACGGAGTGGGGTTCTGCAGATCTAGACCGCGAACTATCATCTGCCGTGTTCTGTTGGCCGAAAGATCTCGGCGAACATGCAGTGTTGCCTGCATACTACACACTCGGCGACTGTACGACTGTACTTGTTGCATTACGGCGTACCGAACTACACATATCAGGGGCTGGCAAAGGCGCCAGGTGGCTGGGGCGGGACCCTTACTGCACGACGGCGAGAAAGGCCAATGCTAAAGAACATGTCTTACTTCGAGCTTTGCGATAGTGTCCTGCAAGTCTGGTTACATGGTACAGTGGTTGGGGCGGTTGCGACATTCTAGAATTGTGGTTGTGGGGTTGGGAAGGGCAGCGCGCGGGCACGCGAACGGCGACTGTCATGCCTCTCCTGCCTCTCCGAACCTTCCTACGTCAAAAGCGTTCAGCATCCACGACATCATCCAGTCAGAACTGGCGCACGGATGCAAGGATGCAAGGATGAGACATCTGCGATGTGTTATGAGCAATGTATGATGATATTGATCCAAAGTATGCTGAGACAATGCTAAACGCCTTTGCTAATAACAATCCATAGACGAAAACATGTAGCGTGCACCGACACCGTCCAAACGTGACCCTATGCATTCATCCCATCCTGCGCCCAACAAGCAAAACCAATGCTCATGCAAAAACGTCGCCCTTTCCTGCACCCAAGAAGATATCATGATAGCTCCGCTCTCGTAAGTCTCGTTCGTTCGTTGAAGCGTCCGCTAGCGAAATTAGAGACGACAAGTGGTGTAAGCGCATCAAACAGCGAATGCGACATGCTTCTCCTGAATAGAACCGATATTCGTCGTTTGTTTCGAGGACGAAGTTGATGGTGGCATGCCGTAAGCCCGCACCTGTGCGCCCAAGATTTGTCGGTCGACCCCTCTTTCTACGCTGCGTGTGAGCTTTTCGAGGCCTGTTCTGAGAGGGCCGCCGACAGGCCGTTGTTGGGTTGCCTTTGTAGATTTCGAAGGTTTTTCAGATTTTGTGGCAGGAGCTTCTGGTTGTGTAACTGCCGCTTCTGGTTTTGTGACTAGGGCTTGTGATTCTGTATACGCTGAAGCTTCTGGTTCGGCGTTTTGGGCGCGCTTTTTAGGGTAGGGAGTGAGTGCTCGGCACAACATATTGGTAAGTCGTGATGGTGATTATCGATTGATGGAAGTGCTGCTATGTTGGGAGTGCAGAATGTTCAAGTGCGCTGATTGTAATGGTGGTTTGTAAATGGCAAGCATGGCATCGCGTCCATGGTGGTTTTATACATTAATGGCCCGATGATATTCATTTTGCTGTACGCGTATTCGCAAACTGTATTCACCGACAATTACAGCACATCTTGCGAGGCATTGCCGCGGTTTCGCGATGTTGGCGCGGAAGGGGGCTGAAGGGATTCGTAACCTCGTACAAACAGCCAATCGGACGAGTGCGCTCGGATATGTCGATCTTCCTGCAGCAAAACCGGTGGCGATCTTGGGGCACTGCATCTCGGGCAGCGTTCACTGCTGACTTCAGGTCTCCCACTGCGGATAGTAATTGAGAAGCCTTGCGTTGGCTTAGTAGACAGAAGACTTGATGCCACGTTTATCGGTTGTGAACCTACAAATCTCCCCGCCAGCGCATGAAGCTGTCTAGCTACTGGTAGCCGCAGCGTGGACTGAGCAGCAGGCCTACGCGTACCGGATGAGCGTATGGTCATATGATGGGTCTCGAGGGTCTCGAGCACGATCATACTCAGGCCAAGCTCTTGCCAGGTCACCGCTGACGTAGTCCCACTCCGACCTAATCTCCGTTAGTGACGCCTGTTGCAATAGCCAGCACACAAACTTACATGAATATCAAATCCAGCTGCACTTTGACTTTCCGCGCTTGAACCTTGACGACCCTCGAGGCTACGTCCTCGAAGAACGGAGGTAGACAGATTGCTAGTGTTATGTTCTGCAGATGCGGAAAGCGCGATCTTCGCGCTCCCAGGTTGACGAGTTGCGATAGACACTGCGCTTCGTCCGAGTGCATGAGGTTCCTCTCGTAGGGATTGAGGTTTCCCGTCGCAACGATGTGGCGAAGATAAAGTGTGCGTAGCGATGTAGGTAGACATGAGGGACCGAGTGCGAGACTCCGTAGTTTCGCTTCTTGCATGGGTTTATGCAAACAGATTGTGTCCAATCTGAGCTTCTCGAGCCGCGAATCCTTGATTATGTCCCTTACATCAACATGCCCGCTCAGGGCCTCATCCTCTTCGATTATGAAGCCGTCGTTCGGATGATTGTATTCAAAAGTGAGTTCGCGAAGAGTTGTCTCGAAGCTGTGCTTGAAAGCGCGGATCAGGTAGCGGAAAGCGGTGCCATCCAATACATCGCGTATGCTGCCTTCGTAATTGCTATGCAATTTTAAACGTCTCAAGTTGAGAAACACTGCCGCAAAGACCTGTATTTCGTCGTCACCAAGCCCCCATTGGAGCGTATGATCAGTGAAGGAGATATCCAAAGTATCAAGCGTGTTGTTTTCGAATTCCCAGTTGTCGAAATGTTCGTTGGGAATCTCGCCAGCGGTAACACCCGAGAGGCGTAATGTCTTCAAGGTTTGCAACTTCAAAACTGGTATGATCTCGGATAGCGTGCCAGACACAATGTTCAAATCCAACTCTTGCAGGTTGGGTACATTCAAGATGAAGTTCCGTAACCGATTACCAAGGTCATCATACCGCATCGCGTAGACGGCCCGAACGTATAGCAACAAATCAGGTCGGTTTTGAAAGGTCTGCAATAAGTCGTCCCCGTTATCTCTTGAGAGGATCAAAGAACGATAGATATACGGCTCTGTGATGCGACAAAACTTGCGTGAAACCAGCGATAGGTTGAGGAGATCGTCATAGTTTGATGTATGCCTGTTCGGCAGGGGATTGACGACTTCGGACACTACATGATCGAGTAGTTCTTCTGAAAGGCGCTCCATGACGGGAAGGGTGCGCAGGCAAAACAGATGTGACGGGTGGCGTTGTGCCTCAGCGATGCCTCAAATGTGTCGGCCGTCAATGAAGAGGCAAAGGGCGGCCACCGCCGCCGCGCTGCAGCTGGCTGATTCAGCACGCCTAGCGCTCAGCCCTATGGAGATAGCCCTGAAGGACCAACAGCGGACCACGAGCCGACTCACTTCAACTGACCGGGAAATTTCCCTCCGCTCATTTTTGTGTCAGTCCGGTTCCCACAACTCCACCCAGACAGCTGCAATATCTACCCGATTGCTTACCCATATGCGACAGCTGCCGCACAATGGCGATCGTCAACGAGCGCGACTTCCCTCCACTTCCATCACCAAATGCAACGCGCCGACGCGCCGCTGAGCGTGTAGTCGAAACCGATGCCGCAGAACCACCTACAACCAAACCGCTTCCGACATTGAGTGATCTCCCCACTGAGCTTATCTTGCAGATAATCAACTACTTTCCCGGCATGGACATTGAAGACTTCCAGCTTCCTACGCTCCTCAGTCTGGCATTGACTAGTCGGCGTTTCTATAACGTTGTCATCGACAAGATCTACTCTAAATACGATAGCCATTTCTGCGAGCCCTACCTTTTCCTCCGTACCATGATAGAGGCTCCGCGGCTCACAAAATATGTCCACAATGTGGAGATCCAACTCGGCACGTACCGTAATCAGCGCTACCATGCGACAGCGAGCGACAAGAAATCCATCAAGGAGGGATTGCGTGCGCTTGGTACATCGGACTGGAAAGAGTGGGCAGCCAGGTGCAACGGAACTCACCTCAATGACTACGCGCCACAGAAGCACGCGCTACAAAACGCGATATTGTTGCATGCACCAAAGATTAAACATCTCGGCGTTCGAGGAATCGCAAAGGAAAACTTGCGATATCCTTCCTGGATCGATCTCATTAGCAGGGCCGCGACAGGTCATCTCTCTTCACAAGCCCACCGCTTCGAAAAGCTACAATCGATCAGCGTTGAGGCAGGTTCGTTAGGTTTGAGCGAGCTCGCACCTCTTTTCCGGCTACAACCGTTGCGAAAGCTGCATTTGTGCCAAACTTACCTTTATGGATATCGCCAAGATGATGCAGAAGGCGTACACAAATTACAACGTCTGATCCCAAAAGCGTGCAACGATCTAGAGGAGCTCGATCTGGAGAGCACTTATTACACCCCGCCGTTGCTGGAAGTATTGGTCTCCTCGTCGCGGTGCTTGAAGAGCATCAAGTACGAGACCGAGTCTGAACTTCACCTGGCAGAGCGGCCACCGGAAAACGGACAGCGGTACAAAACGCTGTCTGAAGTCTTACTCTGTCAGAAGGCATCACTTGAGATTCTTTGGGTTTGTTGCGATCCAGTCACCGAGGATGATACAAAGCGCAGCGTCCATCTCCGTGACAACCTCAAAGACTTTGCTTCGCTAAAACATCTCAGCTGTCCACTAGGCATGCTCTTGAACCACGATGACGACAACTTTGTGGAGCGATTGCCATCCTCGCTGCTGACGTTTCGAACGCCAGTCCGGAATCACACCGAGGACCAACAGTGTCTGGAGGCACTGAGAGACGTGGTAACCTCTTATCGGGAACATGTACCTGATTTGGAAGAGGTTCGGGTGGTTGCTCCAGAGGCTGCAACATGGTTCACATATGATTGGGAGCCTCTTGTGAAGCTCTTTTCGAATGAAACAGGCATCAGCTTCGTGGTAGAACCTGGAGACACTGATGACGATGCCTTCAGTGACTGGGATGGTCATGAGACAGACTCGTCGGACTCCTCAGATGAGGTTGATCTGTACAGCGACGAGGATTGATGTACTAGTATTGCTCACGATTTCATGATACTGGCCTTTT